TAATACTGCGACATGGATTTTTAAAGTTTCGGTAGCTTCCGTACCTCGAAGCACACTTGGCTTCAAGTAGATTTAGGTTTTGCAAAAACATCACACATTCAAGAAAGTTTGAGTTTTTTAGGAAATCGTGGTTTAGGTTTGTGGTCAGAACAGGCTGGTGAATCAATTCACCGAGAATTTTTAAAGTTTTGAGAGCGTTACAAAATTAATTTGATTGACCATCCTACCTATTTAATTCGATTCAAAAAAGCAGTAATCGAGTTCTCTTCAAAACACCTTTGAGAAAATTGTCGATGATTCCAATGTGTTAAATTTGTTAATTAAAACTAAAATAATTAAGAAAAATATCTTCGTTGTTATTTTTAAGATAGTTAATTGTTACTAAAACGTTAAATTTTTTAATTAAACTAATGTGCAATAATTATTCTCTTATTATCTTTTATAAATTTCGTTAAAAAAATTTTAATTTGACAATAACTTGAGAAAAGGATCAGCTAAGATTTTGGTCTTTACGTTTTTTAAACCTTTAAATAAAGAGGAATAACATGCCACTTCCCGATTTCGTCACCATTTTTGCAAAACCTAAATCTACTTGAAGCCAAGTGTGAATATTTATCTCAAAACATTCTACCCGAAATAAACCAAACCAAGGCTACAACATCAACAAAAGAAGAAGCTACAGCCCAGCAAACATGTTCTGTAACTATTACGTAACATTAAGGTAACAGTGTTACATAACATAATTACGTCACTGTTACATAACTGTTATGTAACAAAATAGTAACACTGTTATGTAACTCTTGTTACAGAATTATTACGTAAATATTTCGTCTCTCTGTTCCATCACTGTGACAGAACAGTGTTATGTCACATTAATAGAATGGTTCTGTAACAAGTTAGTCACAAATTTTCTGTAACGTTTGTTACAAAACTGTTACGTAAATATTTCGTCTCTCTGTTACACAACTGTGATTTTCTCAGATTTTTATTTCTAAATTGCTAATTAACTCTTACTATCATGTTCAGGCCCGGCAGATAACGTGGGTACGGTGGGTAGCTTGACCCACCCGGAAAATCCCTGGGTGGGTAATTACCCACCCGGAATTCAGTAACGTTCTTTTAATAAATACATACGTTCTTGTTATAAAAACATTGTATTTAAATATATATTTATAAACTTTATAGAATTTCCATATATTTTTAAATTTGCCGCGGGAAACGTACGCATCTCGAGTATGTGCATACGATGCAAAGACGTGAACTACATAGCAGACTATAGAAAGCATAGTTGAATCCAGTTGAATCGTACCCTTGAACAAGTACTGAAAACTTGGAAGAGTATATCTGAAAGAGCAGTTAAAAGGCAGGCAGGAATAAAATCCAAACAAGAAGAAAGATGGATAAATTCGTCTTTCGTAGCAAGAGAAAAAACGAGGACGTAGATGATCTTAGAGCATCTTTAGAATTAGAATCCAAGGCGATTGCGGCAGTCGACAATGCTAATCGTGTTATTCGGGTTGAAAATCAACCAGTTCAAAATCAAGAATGTAAAATAAACTATTCAGAAAATCGTGAGGGTAGAGCATGAATTGCAGAACAATGTTTTATATGATAAAACCAAGATAAAACAACACTGCGAGGAACACACTTCAAATAATAAACATCAAAACATAACCTCATTTACAAACTACAATTTTACTTTCGAGAAACAGGTCCATTCAAAACAATTAAATTATTTATTTTAGCCCTTGTTAAAAACTACATTTTACTTTATTTTGTTTGCAAAACTATATTTTAATTAATTATTGTTATTTAATATTTTAATTTCTAATATACAGGTGTCAGTCCTTAAACATGTTGATCTATAAAAATTTTGTTTAAAAATTTTTTTCTAGAGCCGGCTGTAGGAAAATCTACAGTGCCCTCAAAATTTAAAACTTGGAAGAAAGAAAATCCGTGGCTTGAACTGAATGTAAATAATTGTGCAATTTGCATTATTTGTACTGAAGCGTGTGAACGAAAATTAATTATCAATTTAGATTCGCGCAGCATTTCATCGAAGCAAGCTTGGGTTCATGATGGATTCTCAAATTGGAAGCATGGATTCGAGCGAATAAAAGCTCATCTGAAAAGTAATCTTCATCGTGACAGCAGTGAGGCATTCAGCAACGTTAAAGAAATTAACGTGGCAGAACTAGTATCAAAGTATCACTTGAAACAAATGATAGAAAATCGAATGGCATTAAGAAAAATTTTTTGTACACTAAGAGTGTATCGTAAATCGTTTCCGATAATTTAACATCAAAGGAGTATTTTATTGGTTTCTTCTCTATAAAAAATATTAAAGCAAAAACTTTATTCGATCTCGTAAATAAAATTTTAGTGTCGCACTCATTGTCACTTTTAAAACTTAGAGGTCAGTGTTATAATGGAGCAGCGAATGTTTCCGGTAACATCTCTGGATTGCAAACGAGAATACGAGAAGAAGAACCTCGAGCGTTATTTGTACACTGCACTGCTCATAGAATGAGTCTTGTTGTTCAAGATGGAATTGAAAAAGTTTTATCAGCAAGAAAATTTATTGGAACTATAAAAGATTTAATCAACTTTGTACGAGACTCACCAAAACGCATTTCACAATTCAAAAATTCGCAGTTTGAAGCAGAAACAGAAAGCGACACTTTGCTACCTTCTCTTGCAGCGTATTGCCCAACCAGGTATTAAGATTTAAAAACTATTATTACAATCTTTGTTGATTCTTTTTTAAAATTAATATGTGTTTCCTCATGGATGAATTATTCTATATTGGCAAAATTTCTCGATTATGATTTATTAAATTACTTCGATCTTTTTAACTTTAAACCTATAAATTCTGCTTTTAAGGATATGTGGGAAAAGGGACATTTTTTTACAGTTTCAAGATTTCTCTGAAATGAAAAGAGATTTTGAGTTATAATTTTGAGGAACAATAAATAAGGGTTTATAGAATTCCACTCTTCATCTAATTTTAATAATTTAATTTTTAATAATTTTACGGGTAAATGAAATAAGGCAATAAATAGTGAGTAAATAGTTTTATTTTTAGTTCAGTTGATGTCTACGAACATATGCTGAAAGCGCCATGACTGATACTCGTTCCCAAGTTGCTTTTCAAATTCATTCAAAATTAGAGCTTTTCTAACTTTTATTTTTTATACTTAATCAAAATTATGCTTTAAACGAGAAGAGTAGAAATCTGTGGTCCCTCCTCTATCATCCCTCAAAATTTCAGCTCGAAATTTTCTATCACTTAAAAATAAGATTGAAACTCAGAAACACTATTTTCCCGCTTAAAGTCACGTGGGTATTTTCCACATACTCTTAGGAAAGAATTTAATTATTAAAATTTATAAAATAAAATTAACTTTTTATAGATGGGTAGTACGAATCAAGTCTTTAAAGACTGTAAGTCTAAATTACGTACCACTAATGCAGTTTTTGCACGATCGCTCAGAGGATGTAGAAGTCGATAGTAGCATCTCTGCTAAAGCTTTAGGATTTTACAATTATTTGGAATCATTCGAGTGTGTATTCTTTTTAACGACGATGATTGAAATATTTGATCATATAGAGGTTTTAAACAAAGAACTGCAAAATTCGGAACTATGTGTTATCGAATCATATCAAAAAATTGAAGCTGTAACTGATTTTTTAATTGATTCTCGAGATTCAAAATTTGTAAAAATTTGGCAAAAATGCCTTGAAACTGTTGACAAACTTGAACTCGAAGAACCTAATCTTCCACGACAGCGTAAAATTCCAAAACGTATACAAACATCTACAAGCGAAGACCACAGATTCAACACACCCGAAGACTTTTACAGAAAATTGTACTTCGAAGTTTTTGACCAAGTAATTGTGTCCTTAAAAAGTAGATTCGAAAATGATTCTGCAGTATTTTTCAAATCTATGGAGCAATTTGTTATTGGTGAGCCTGTAAATGTAGACGAAATTGTCGACTTTTATAATGATGATTTCGATAAAGAAAGATTGATCAATGATAGGGAAATGTTTTTGCAACTCTTGAAGAGAAAAAATGTTCAAGTGAAAAATTTGAGGGAAGTTGTAGATTTTTTAAAGCAAAACGAGTGGAGTAGAGGATTAATTCCAGAGTTTGTGCGTTTTGTTAAGCTGCTCATGACGATTCCAGGATCATCTTGTTCAAACGAACGAAGTTTCTCTACATTCCGACGACTTAAAACTTATTTGAGATCAACGATGCGCCAAGATCGATTGAATAACATAGCCCTTATACATATTTACTCTGAAATGGCTGACAAAATTGATTTAGAGAAACTATTAGATACTTTTATTTCACAAAATTCAAAACGCAGTGCAGTTTTCGCATTGAGCAGATAAGTTACTGTTAATAGTAGTTATTACTATGATTTTTGTCATTATAAACATATTATTAATAAAGGAAATTCCAATAATTTCATTTCTTATTTTCTACTCTTAAATTTCAAACAAGATAATTTTCTCCTCTACCCCCCCCCCAGGGCAACTACCCACCCGGGAAAAACATGATTTGCCGGGCCTGATCATGTTATTATTATTTAATTATTTAATTACAATATTAATTTTTTAATTCAAAATAAGCAAAAGACATTAAAAAGCTATCATAAATTTAGAACCAAAAACAATTTTATAAAATGTTTTCAAATTTTTGAAGTAAAACATTCATTCAGGTTTTGTTTTACTTAAAACTTTATCATTTATCATCCATAGATTTTATGATTAAAGATACCTTTTATTCGTCAAATATAGAATGCTTTTATAATTCTGATCACAACTTTAAATTTAGAGAAAAATAAAAGTGATAATTAAAAAAAAATTTTTTTTTTAATATTTAAGGTTGAAAGTCAAGGTTTTTTTAAAACAAAACTGTTGTTTACCGGTTTTTATGGTTTCTTTGTTTTTAATGTAAAAAGTTTTCGGTAAATTAGAAAACAAAGTATTCATTTTAAACAATTTTATTTTTTCTTAAATGTAAGTATAATTTTAATTAGTGGAAAAATAATCAGAATCGTGAATGATATACATAGAGAGAGATTATCCTTTAATTTCCATTATACATAATGCATTTTTACGTATTTTGAAAATGGAAAAATTACAAAAAAAGACCTACTTGGATTTTTCTCTTTTGTAACTCTAGGAAAAATTATAATTTGCATTTCACGTAATGTATTTTTACGTTTTCTGAAAGTGTAAAAATTACAAAAAAAAACTACTTGGATTTTTCTCTTCTGTAGCACTAAAAGGAATTATTCTTCAATTTCCATTTCACGTAATGCATCTTTTTGTTTCCTGAAAATGGACAAATAAATCACAGTTAAAATTAAAGGCAAGTTGAAAAATAAAAAGGGTACCTACTTGAATTTTTCTCTTTTGTAGCGCTGTATAGATACCTGAAAACATTCGGCCGCTATAGTATCGAAATCAGCCTCTTTTAGAGACGGGTGAGAAGAGCAAATTAGCGCTATAAAATTTTTTTTAATTATTATAATAACAGACGGTATGACGTTACTGAAGCAAATAATTATATTTTCAAACGGCATGCTTGTTTCAAAATCTGTAAGGTGAAATTCTAGAGAATAATAATTTTTTTTAAATATATGAGCCGTCATTGATTTAAATCGTATTATTTTTAAAAAATTCGGAAGAAACAATATCACACAAAGTTTAAATGTATGCTTTATGTATAAACAATTTATTTTTTGTTTTAAAATTTTTTTCTTGTAAATTCATATTTGTTTTTTCAGAGAATACTATTAATAATAATAGTTAAATTTTTCAATTAAAAAGAAAGAAAATTTTTATACGCACATTTAATATAAGTCATCAGTCTCAACTTTGATGCTGCTGGTTTATCTTTCATTCCCTTACAGGTATAGTGCTTGCAGCACCTGTTCGATAAAGTAGCTTTTAGAACATTATAAATATTGTCCTTTGCTGAGGCTCCTCCAATGCCTTGGATGTATTTCTCCTAAACACAATATTATTAAACATAAAAACTAACAGTATTCAATAATAATTACACAGGCACACAAAAAAAAAAAAAAGTCAGGTCCCAAAAAGCACAACCCCATATTCCTATGTTTTTGGGGTCGCTGAAACCGAATATGACCATGAAAAATTTTTTTGCCGACCCATTTTCCCGCAACCACCCCCTTAAACCTACTCACGGGGGTTGGAGTTTCAAATTAAAAAAAAAGTCAAGTTCGGTGTCTAATTCTACGTTTTTTGGGGCGCTGAAACCGAAAAACGCCACCAAAAACAAATTCTTTACCCCCTTAACCCCCTACAACCCTCTGGGAGGGGGTTAAAATTTTAAATTTCACAAAAAGTCAAGTTTGGTGTCTAATCCTACGTTTTTTGGGGCGCTGAAATCAAAAAACGCCACCAAAAACAAATTCTTTACCCCCTTAACCCCCTACAACCCTCTTGGAGGGGGTTAAAATTTTAAATTTCACAAAAAGTCAAGTTCGGTGTCTAATCCTACGTTTTTTGGGGCGCTGAAATCAAAAAACACCACCAAAAACAAATTCTTTACCCCCTTAACCCCCTACAACCCCTGGGAGGGGGTTGGAATTTCATTTTTCACGAAAAGTCGAGTACGGTGTCTAATCCTATGTTTTTTGGGTCGCTGAAACCGAAAAACATCACCAAAAATAAAGTTTTCTAGAAAGTTACCTATGATTACACAAATACGCACCTACAAAGTCTTAAGGAAAATTATTTTTCTACACTTAGCGCCGTGAAAAATGATATTCCAACCCCCTCCCAGGGGTTCTAGCGGGTTAAGGGGGTAAAGAATTTGTTTTTGGTGGTGTTTTTTTATTTCAGCGCCCCAAGAAACGTAGGATTAGACACCGAACTTGACTTTTTGTGAAATTTAAAATTTTAACCCCCTCCCAGAGGGTTGTAGGGGGTTAAGGGGGTAAAGAATTTGTTTTTGGTGGCGTTTTTTGATTTCAGCGCCCCAAAAAACGTAGGATTAGACACCAAACTTGACTTTTTGTGAAATTTAAAATTTTAACCCCCTCCCAGAGGGTTGTAGGGGGTTAAGGGGGTAAAGAATTTGTTTTTGGTGGCGTTTTTCGGTTTCAGCGCCCCAAAAAACGTAGGATTAGACACCGAACTTGACTTTTTTTTTAATTTGAAACTCCAACCCCCGTGAGTAGGTGCAAGGGGGTGGTTGCGGGAAAATGGGTCGGCAAAAAAATTTTTCATGGTCATATTCGGTTTCAGCGACCCCAAAAACATAGGAATATGGGGTTGTGCTTTTTGGGACCTGACTTTTTTTTTTTTTTGTGTGCCTGTGTAATTGAATCGATTTTCTAAAAAGAAAGATGTAGAAAATTCTTTTTATTTTAAAAACTTACTAAAAGCAACTTGGTTTCTGGAGAATTTTTCAGCTTTTTATTGAATTGATCCACGTGTGATACTTTTTTAAGCGGTAGCAACGCTTTAATTGTTTCTAAATCATTGTACACTAACATCTGATGGTTTCCTTGCTCCAATAGGGCGAATCTTCTCTTTAAATCTTTTACTTCTAGACGTAAGTGTGCACATGTACGATTCGTTTGATCCAAAGAGTTTTGCAGCTTCTCAATATCACCTACAGAAATGAAATTTATTGAATATTATTGAACTGTTTTATTTTCAAATCCTTACAAATAAAAAATTTTAATCACATTTGTAATACCAAATTTATCTACATGGCTCTAAACTTGGAATTTTTTCGTTTTTAGATAACAAATAAAAAACGGCTTACTTAAAAAAATTTTATTTATAATTTTTTTCATTTATCTTAAAAAAACACTACCAAACAAATTGTAGCTTGGCTTTTCAGTTGGCTAAATGTTATTCTAAAAAATCATCTATCCTCTTTCAATTGACACAATTAAAAAATATCAAGTTAGATAGAAGATATATCGAAATTACTATTTTATGTTTTTTGGGGGAAGAAATAAATTTAGATAAAAAAATCTAAAAATCAATAATTATAATCAATTACACGCAAACTTTGTACAGGGAGTAATTTTACGGTCTTTGATTAAGATTTTTATATTTTCATAAAGGAATGTTCGTAATAGCATAATTAAAAAAAAGTACAAACCAAGATTTCTACTATCAGGTAACTGATTCATATCGTCTGTATGAATGCTCAACTGTTTTGTTGAATCTTTTGATAAATTTTTTCCACGTGAACATATCACTTCAGTATTGAAGTCGGGTTCGCTTGGTAGATATGTGAGCACAGATCTCTCTTGATCTTCATCTGAATTATAAGAAACTCTTTGATTTGAACTCACATCTCTCACCTTCATCATTTTTCTAACTGCAGTACATATATAACACTTAACTATATAATCTCAAAACTATGAGTTATATTAATATTTTTTTAATTAAGTTTTAAAACTGTTTTTCTTAAATTATAATTCTTTAATTAATTTTTAATTAAAACTCGAATTTTTTTTTATAAATCTACGTTTCAAATTAAATTTCAGTACTTTATTTTTAAATTTATTGAACAAATTTTAAATAAAATTTATTTAGATATTTATTTATTCTACTTAAGACTAACTACAAGAAAAGCTTTTATAACTAATAAGACTTTAAAAAAATTTAGGCTATTTTATAAGTAAACAAATGAGATAATGCAAAAATTAATTTTTTTCAATTTTGAAATCTAATCAAGCTTTGAGTAAAATAGTAGCAATTTTATGAGTATAGTTTTCTTTTTCGACGGTGATTTTTGAATATGATACTGACAAAATTTAATTAAAATTTATTAGCATAGAGTTTATTAGCTTGAGTTTGGCTCGAGGCTCATATATGGCTCAAGGCTTAAGTTTGTCTCGAGGCTTAGCTTTGGCTCGAGGCTCACGTTAGGCTCAAGGCTTGAGTTTGGCTCAAGGCTTAAGTTTGGCTCGAAGCTCACGTTAGGCTCAAGGCTTTGAGTTTGGCTCAAGGCTTAAGTTTGGCTCGAGGCTCACGTTAGGCTCAAGGCTTGAGTTTGGTTCGAGGCTCATATATGGATCAAGGCTTAAGTTTGGCTCGAGGCTCGAGCCAAACTTAAGCCTTGAGCCTAACGTGAGCCTCGAGCCAAAGCCAAGCCTCGAGCCAAACTTAAGCCTTGAACCATACATGAGCCTTGAGCTAAACGTGAGCCTCGAGCCAAACTCAAGCCTTGAGCCTAACGTGAGCCTCGAGCCAAAGCAAATGCTCGAGCTAAACTTATGCCTTGAGCCATACGTGAGACTCGAGCCAAAGCCAAGCCTCGAGCCAAACCTGAGCCTTGAGCCAAACATGAGCCTCGAGCCAAACTCAAGTCTGGAGTCAAACTCAAGCCTTAAGCCAAAGCCAAGCCATGAGCCTAAAACTTAGTTTTTTTGTCACTTTTTAAGCTATCAACATGGTGTAGCTCAGAAGGACTTGATTCTTGGAGGTTTTGACCTTAATATTTTTTGTTCAGGAGGTGATAATCTACACGGAGAGAAATCTGGTGCGATTTACGCATGAGCATGTCCTTAGGAATATAGTAACAGACGCTTTCAAGCAAAAATCCTAAGTGAGCGAGGTATTATTGTATGAGTCTCACCTGATATTCAGATGGAATCTTAAAGTTTTTGCTTGGAAGTGTCCATGCTATATTCTTATGGACTTGCTCATGCGCAAATCGCAGCAGATTTCTCTCCGTGTACAAAACTGCAAAGTTTAAAAAAATTTGACCGTAAATTTTTTTCCCCTATAGCGTGTGCGGGGTCCTTTAGTCAAACATTTTTTTCAGTTTCATAAAGAAAAAGACAATGTACATACGTATTTTGTTTTGTTTTCTTTATACATTTCCGAATTTACGAGTCAAGAGTTTTCAATAATTTAAAAATAAGTACACCAATTTTCGACGACATACACCGAACTCTAACCTTCTCATTGAATTTAGAAAAAAATCGCCAAGGGAATAAAAGTTCAGCTTTTCTTTCACTTTTCAAAAATATAAATTTAAAAAATTTATAAATTTTTATTTACTTTTATTTTTTAATTTTTATAAAAAAAATAAAAATATGTTGAAGCAAAATTAAAATGTAAACAAATGTTATTACCCTGAAATCGGCAATGTATAATATATTTGAATTAAAATAAAAACTTACAGCAGAATTTGGCAATGTCGACTTCCAATAATGACCACAATGCAGGATCGTGATCACTTTTCTTTAGAATTAACGATGTAACATTCATAATATTAGGAGGCCACCAACACTTATAAATCATTCTTTTCTTGTCATCTTCAAAAAAACGTAGCCACTTAACGAGGACTTCTGAAAAATGTTCTAATTCATTTTCTGATTGCAGGAACTTTACAACAGCAAACTCTTTATTGTTTTCCACTGGTTTCTAGGTAAAAAATAAAAGTTAATTGTATGAATAAATGATAATTAATGATAGATCTCTTAAATTTACGTACAGTAATCGCATACAGTACGTAGATAATTTTTATTTATATTATTTAAATGTGTACAAAATTTTTGTAAATACATTTTTCTCGAAAATAATATGCTGAAAAATTTCATTAAAAAATCTGCGCCTATTTAATACGTAAATTTCTATTGTGATAGCTAAAAATTTGCATACACGGCAATTATTGAAAGTTAATGTAAAAAAGACAATTTCTTTTTTTTCGTTAAAAGTATTTCTTTATTCATATTTCATAATAAAGACATGTGTTTTACTTTTTATGGTAAGCCAAAAAAATTGAATTTGTTTACAGAATAAATAATAATAGCAGAAAAATTTATATTCTTCTATTCACTGTAGTTTATCAATGGACTTACGTATATATATATATATATATGTATTAATTAACCTCACTTTAAAAAACAGTTTTTACCAAAAATAATAGTTTGATTGATTCTGTCAACTTGTATATTTATTGTGATTATTTTACTTACCAAATCTTTATCCATATTGATTATTTGTTTTCAACACTATTCACTCATTAAATAAATTGCAGCAAATGCGAGAATCTACACGTCTTAAATAATTTGATCGAAAATTTTTTCCTGCCGGCCGGCATGTACAGGTTAAAACGTGAATTTTCTCATGTATGTATATATGCTGGGTTGTGTAGTGTTCCACACTGAACAAGGACAAGCGTGAGCTACGAGAAAGGGAGAGAGACCCTTAGTATACGCAGTTACGCATCGCTCGCAACATGTGCTTTCAACAAATACGGAAATTATTGTCTGTTAATAATTTATAAATCTTAAAGTGTTGTTAAAAATATAATGTGCAGTTTATGAAATCGAACGATAATATTATTTTAAAGTGGTGTTTTGTGCAAGTATATATCAATTATACATGTGATTGGAACGGGATAACCTAGAATTCTAATTTTCAAATTTTCTAATTTACATCATTAGAATCACTCGAATAATTAAGAAATCAGGTAAGCATCTTGTGTATATAATACAAAACTAAACTTTTTGCCAAATTTAAAAAAATGTTAATAGAAAAATTGGTACACAAACAGAAGAGTGTAGTAAATATCATTGTGAGCAGACTAACAATTATAAAACATTTTTATTGCTTTTTGACAGTTTCAAAAAGGGTTAGGTTAATGAAAATAGTTTTTCAGGAACACTAAAACGAATTACAAATGAATAGTGAATATGAAATTAAATAATAGAGATCATTTTTAGTATTGAAATAAATGCTATTAATTATACGTATAATATATAAGTAATTGAATATCACGATTTTTTTAATATAACAAAAATTTCAGATTTCAAGGGATGAAGAATTATCATTTTAAAGATGGAAATTGAAAAAATGTATCTTGGTCTTTAAAAGCCTTTAAAGGTCTTACATTCTTTTCCAAAAGTTGCTGAAGGCCCTATTGCAGGTGAGCATAAAAAACAAAATATTTTTTTCCAATCTCTTGCATATATATAAAATAAAAATTTCTCGTATTCAAAAAGATAAAATTATTTTAACTTAAAAATTATTTTAACCTGTAATATAAATTTAAAGTAATATTGCTTGTTGGATTAGAAGTCAATTGAAACTATTGAGGTAAACTTATATAAAGTATATAGAATGTAAACTTCTATATAAGAAACATAAAATTTTCATATTAAAGCGAGTGTTCTTTCCAACTAATTTCATATTTATAATATTAATATTCATTAATTAATGATAATTTATAAATATTTTAATATTATCGCGATAAGTTGGTCTTTCCCGAAACATATTTACGAGATATTAAGTCATATGAGTAGATTTAGAATAATATAGTTTGATTTTCATGGCTTATGGTTTGTATTCAGATCATTTTCAAATTTTTGTATAATTTTTTGTTTGCTGATATTAGAATAGAATTAAATAATTTAATTTACAAAATTTACACAATAGCTTTTTGGAGCCAGGAAACACATTAATTTAGTTTGTCACAAAATAAATTAAATTTTGTTTATTATGATTATTTTGACAATTAACAAAATGTTAATTCGACAAAAATGTGTTGACATTAAAAAGGCGAATCTTAAAACTAGTAATTTCTTTAATTTTAAAGTTTTATTGTTTAAAGCATGAGAAAATATGATTAGAATTCTGGACAAGTAAACATTGCAAAAAATCGTGTGTTGAAAATGTAATAATTATTTATCTTTTCAAGAAATTAATGTAAAGTCTTTTGAAAGTGATTGATCGTATAAAGAATTAATAATTTCAACGTAAACAAGGTAAAAAATTTATTAAAATGAACAACATATATGCTACATTAAAGTTGAAAGTTTCAGAGACTTAGCCGTAGAGGAAGAATTTCAAGAAGACAGAAATTATTAAATATATCTCATCATCTCATCTCACCAAAGTAAAAATCATTTTTTGTAGACAATAGAAAAATATTCTCATAGTACAAATAAAATGTACAAGTAATTTACGTTAGTAATATTTCCAGGGTGTCTACAACAGCTTAAAACTTAAAATTCTCAGCACAATAATTCCTTACAAAAAAATGCTTAGTTTTTTTAATGTTCCAGGTAACTTCCCAGTCGAAAATCGTAAGTTTCCCTGAAGGGTTCACATGGCCTTCAGGTAACTGTTATGAAGGTTTTAAAAGCTTCATGGCAACTATTTATACATTAGACCTAAAATTCTGTGATATTTGCTTTCTGACTTATTAACGGGAAGCTTTTTCTACAGCTTGTTGAATATCTGTGGACAGCTTCTAGCAAAAGGTCTACCAGTTTGCTTGGTGAATGCTTTATACCTAATGCCTGGTTTAATGTGTAAGAAAGCAATTCTATTTGCTTTTCACAAGTTGCAAATTAATATGTAATTTAATTACCTTTTTTACACTTTCTGAAAACTAGAATAATTTCATTAAATTAAACTATATCGAAAAATCATAAAAATTCTATAGTAATTTTTAAATCCGTTTTATACAATTAATAATTATTCTTTATATATTATATAAAAATTATTTTTCAAAGAAAACGTTTATTTTTAAACACTTAAATTATATACGAAAAAAATTATATATAACTTGAGCAAAATTTGGGGTTAGGAATACGAACACGGTGAAAACTTTTTATATTGAATAATGAATACAATTTCTTAAAAAAAAGACAAAATATTTAATATTTAAAAAAAAGATTATTATTTTTATACTTGATATTTATTAATATTTTTTATAAATAATATATTCTTTATTCTTTTAGAATTTCATAATTTATGAAAATGAATTTAACAGCGTATTTTTATTTACAAATTTTGGTTGACAACAATATTTTTACGAGATAAATAAAGATGGAAAGAAAGGTTAAATTTAATTTTTGATCATTGTCATTTTTCCGCTGTTTCCTGAAACATCCATGACGCTTCATTTAATTTTCGCCACCTGAACGCTTTCTTTTTTTTTGTTTAAAACGTACAAAATTTGTTATTTTCAAGCTTTCCGTGGAAGCGAAAAATCGGCCATAACAGGCTTCCTGAAAGTTTTCTATAGCTAGTTATCTACTGTCTCACAATTCTCTAATGGATATCTCAATACTTCAAAACAACTTTTTGTTCAGCTTAACATAGCGTAGGATTTTCGACTGGGTTAATCAATTTTATTTCACATTGTCCAGAATGCCCTCAAATAGAGTAAAATTTGTTGCTGGTAATCGTTATCCTGAAATCTGGGTAAAAACTAATTTTTGTTTTTTCTGTGTTGGGAAGCAGCAAAATTTTAGTGAATTTGCATAACACTCTTGATTTTCTTTTAAAAATCGCGTTATGTAATGGTTTAATAACAAAAATTTATTCGTTTAATAATTTTTGAAAATACATATGTTTATTTTACATTAAAAGTAGTATATATAATTAATTTATATCGCCAAAAAATCAATTACTTTAATTTATTTTTCGTGTTTTATATCATTTAAAAGTTAAATGTTTAAATGAGCTTTTCTCGAGATGATGTTTATGAATCTAGCAGACAGCATAACCCTACTTCTATTTAACTGATTTTTTCATTTTTTTGTAATTGAACTTTTCAGGCATCCCATCTCGATCCGTATATGTTTTTTTTATTTATTTTTAGCTGCGGCCCAAAAACAAAACAAAGATACCCGTCTTTTTGAAAAAAATTTAAAATTCCTGTCATTTTTCTTCTTTATTAAATATATTTTTTACTTTTTTTCAAATCCGATGTTGTTGGGAGGCTGCACCTATTGTTCGCCCATACTCCAATCATTTCTTAACTTTATTTCAGTGCCCTCTAGTAAACAGACCGTTTAAAAACAAAAATGTTCTCCTGAAAAGAATATTGTCCCATAAAATAAGAAAAAATTTGGTCTATTGAATAAAGTTATTAGTGAGAAAAAAGTTTTGCTTTAAAACCGTTTTTACCGCTTGAAAAGTGTAATAATACCTTAACATTATAAAGTTTATGCAATTTTAAAATTAAGATTCTTGTAATTTTTTTACATACACCCAAATGCATATATGCCGTCCTTTCGGTTTAACGAAATTTTGAAAAGATATGTCATTTCTGTCAAAATTATTTAATTCGTGACATATGAATAAACATCATACGCAACAAACTAAGAAAATTTTATAGAAATGATACGACTTTTGAAAATTTTTGTCAAACTGGAAGGACTGCATATTTGGGCGTATTTTCTTTTAAGGGGCCCTTATAATGCATTTGAAATATGGCTTAGACCAAACATGGTTCCGACTAAGAAAAATCGGGATTTAAACATTTATCGAAGAAATAGAAAAATTTATCATGAAACAAGGAATTTTTTGATTATTCTCAAAATTCGATAAACATAATATTGTTAATTAATTTTCAAAAATAATTTTTAAATAATTAAAATTTATTAACAAATAAACATATGTTGATGAACGTAACAAAGTATAAAATTTGTTTCCTTAATAAAAACCCACAGGTCACGGGGGCATGGGTTGTCTGAAAGAAGTCTGATGTATAAAATACGTCTTTCGAACATAAGATGTTTTTAAGATGTCTTTCGGACGGACGTGCAGAGAACGTTCTAAAGACGTCTTTAAAACAATTCATGTCCCCGTGCTCACTGAGAATTTGACCTAAAAATATAAAATGATTCCCCTGAAAAAGATTCACTTTTGAACATAAAATAATCGCTACGTTGATGCTAACTCTACTATACGATTGATGTATTTCTTTATCTCTAAATGCTTCCAGGTTTGAAGAATAAAAAATTATTAGGGATTTTTTCAGGATAGTTGTGGACACCCTGATTTTTTCTGTCATATTTAGATGCATTAACTTTTATAAAACTTAATGAACATTTGCTTTCAGCTGTTCGAAAAATTATATAATAAAAATGAGTAAGGAGTTCAATCATTTGTCTAAAAGACATAAATCTCGTTTAATTGGACAAGAAGTTTCGAATTTATCAACATCATCAACCTCAGAAATTCAAGTACATTACGATGCGCCTTTAACAATAAATTCATGAGCTGATGATTCCGATATGTCAATTTTAGAATCAGACAATTTTGTAGGTTCCATTGGGCAGGGACTCAGTTCAACCTTTTCCGATTCTTTAAAGACCGATTTTACATGGTGGATTACACAAATGAATACTCTAAACGCAATCTTACTCTCACCTGATGGACTCTACACAGAGTTACTGTATAATATAATAAGTAAAAAGGGGTTAGATATTTGATTCTTCACAGACTGACTCTACACAGCAAAACTCTACAAAACTAAATAAATTACAAAGTTAGAATCCTACGCGAACTGACTCTACGCAGAGAAACTCTCCAAAGCTTGATACAATTTTTTTACTCTCTACTGACCGATTCTACACGAATGGATTCTTCAATCTTAAATAAAAACTTGAAATTTTATTTCAATTTCTTATCTCTCCACACATTGACTCTACATGAGTAAACTCTCCATAACTTATTCCATTTTTTTACTCTCCGCTGACTGATTCTACACCAAAAGATTCTGCAATATTCAATAAAAACTAAAAATTTTTTATTCATTTTTTATCTCTTCAAATATCAACTCTACACGAGTAAACTCTCCAAAACCCATTTCAATTTTTTTTTACTCTCCACTGACTGACTCTACATGAAAGGATTCTCCAATCATCAATAAAAACTTGAAGTTCTAGTTCTACTTTTTATCTCTCCATAAATCGACTCTACACGAGTAAACTCTCCAAAACCCATTTCAATTTTTTTTTACTCTCCACTGACTGACTCTACATGAAAGGATTCTCCAATCATCAATAAAAACTTGAAGTTCTAGTTCCACTTTTTATCTCTCCATAAGTCGACTCTACACGAGTAAACTCTCCAAAATTTATTTCAATTTTTTTTACACTCCGCTGACTGATTCTACACCAAAAGATT